TATATATAACTTTAGTCGCGGTACGAAGCAACAATCTCATATATAGAAATAGCGGTGACTCCTATACCATTCACGTGGTCGTTCGTATCGGGTGTGTGGACTGTAAAGTGTAAGATATCAAATAGTATCTCATTTGTCTCCATAGCAAAAGTCTCTTATTTCGATTCAGCTTGTCCGCTATGCTGGTATGGACATGTTCTTCGAACAAAGGGGTTTAGGGTTTAGGGTTTAGGGTCAGTGAAAGTGGTGTAGTTGTGTGAGCAGTGGCTGGCCCACAGTTGCTAGTGCTAAAGTCGTGCCCCACATACGTTTAGAAATGCAAACCACTTTGGAGTTCATTAAAACACGCCCCACTAAAACCCTAAAACCCACACACAAGCTTACTAATGGAAACCATACTCTCGTACGTCTACACACGTCCAAAGGTGCGCTGAAGTGATGTGTGACATTTCATTATATTCATATGACGTGAAACAACACACAGCGACATAGCACACAGAGAGCACTCTGCAGTTAACATACACGCACACACACACGCATCAGCATATGACAAACACACACGCATCAGCACATGACAAACACACACGCACACACACACGCATGAGCATATGACAAACACACACGCACACACAAACACATGAGCATATGACAAACACACACGCACATACACGCACACATATACGCATCACCCCATAACAAGCACTGACCTGCTTCCAGTGGGTTGGTTTGTAGTCGGGTGATGTGGTGAGTTTGAGTGTTTTCCAAAACGGGTCGATGTAATTGCGCGGGCGCTGGAAGTCGACGTCAAACCACGCGCCAAAGCCAGTGAACGAGCCTCTGATCATACTCGTCAGCGTAAACGACGTCACCGTCTGTCGCAGAGTGTCTACTGTGACGGTGTAACAGTCAATGGTCTTGATCTTCTTCGGGCGGGCTATGACCTGAGGGGTGGTGTGAGTGGGTGTATTGGTAGAGGGTGTGTATGGTTTGTAGGGTCGTGGTACGGTCCTAAACACACCACAACACAAAACAGATTTTACACACACACACACACATACACACACATATATATATATATACATATAAATATATATATATACATATATATATACATATATATACAGATATATATATATATATATATGTATATATATAATATATATATATATATATCAATATATATACATAGATATCGTGATTGGAGTCAGGGCCCTGTTTGCGTGAGGGGTTGTGCCTGCTGTGTGTTGATGAGAGTGTGCAGTCAAGGCTTTCCACAGTCGTGGCAGGTGTTGACGAATGCCATGTCAATGAATTGTGAAGGGATTGCAGGCGATGTTCACACTACACAGGTGCAGTCGTAGGCTCAAAAACCTATAAAAAAGGTTTGGAACACACCTCATGTGTAGCAAAACAGACGCACACACACCAAGCACACAATTGCGCAATGTACTGCGTAGCCAGGAGGTCCTGAATACCTGAAGCAACGTGAGATACACTAAACACACTGTGACATCATACGTTGAATCTGCTGTAGCGCTGTAATTGTACACTCAGATGGCGTTGCGTAGCAACCGTTGGTAGAAGCACAGCGAAGTCACACAAAGCAAGCTTTAGTATTCAGGTACAGGCACAGATGAACATTGTAGGTACGATACCTACTTCTTGGAAGTAAACATTGTAGGTACGTTACCTACTCCTTGGAAGTAAACATTGTAGTCGCAGATATATACATCCATCGTTCAGGCACAAACAATTGGATCTACAAACAGACGCCCAAGCGTCTGCCCGGATTTGCGGTCAGACAGCATTTATGGACATGTATAAAAACAACAACATATACAAACATACATAAACACACAACACAAAAAATCATACACAAAACAACCCTAGAATCATTGCACACATACACACACATCTACATCACCCTCTCCCATACCCCACCCAGCCTCACCCCCCACATACGCTTTCCGGCTCAAGCCATTCCACGTGCACATCCTTAAGTGTAGACTCGCGTGCCATGTCCTGCATTGACGTGAGATCCAATCCATACAACGCAGACGCATCCGACCAGAAGGTCACTCGGTCCTTCACAAACTGCTCGTCACTGATGGCGGCGAGGTACAGCGTAGCTCTACTAGGCATCATCAGTCCACCCTACACACAGGCAGAGGAGAGGGGGAGTGGGTGATAAGAATGAGAGGGGAGAGTGGGTGTGATAAAAATGAGAGGTGTGTGTGTGTGTAGATATCATGGACGTCACACATAACCCTAAAGGGTGTCACATAAAACCCTAAAAAACGTCATACCTCAACCAGCCAGTTGTCGCGTGCGTAGATGACGCTCTCAAACATTGACTCATAGAGCAGAAAGTAGCCCATCCACTCAGACACAATGATATCCACTTTCTGCGGCAGTTCAATATTCTCCAACTACACCAGAACGGTGGACGGTTTAGGGTTTAGAGTTTAGGGTTTTTGGGTTATAGGGGTTGGTTGATCGCAGCAGATGTACGTGTAGGGTACTAGGGTTTGGGTTGTGGATTTTAAGGGCAGTCGTGTATGATTGGGTGCAAGAGATTCTCCAGTCCTTCAAGCACAATACAATAAACCATACAAACCATAACCACAATGTAAGAAACCATACAAACCACAACCACTATATAATAAACCAAATAAACCACAACCACTATATAACAAACCCTATAAACCATAACCACTATATAACAAACCATATAAGCCACAACCACTATATAACAAACCATATAAACCACAACCACAATATAATAAACCATATAAAACACAACCACAATATAAGAAACCATATAAATCACAATCACAATATAGCAAACCATATAAACCAGAACCACAGTATCATTGACCATATAAAGCACAACCATAGCATAATAAACCATATAAACCACAGCCACAGTATCATTAACCATATAAACCACAACCACAGTATAATAAACCATATAAACCACAACCACGGTATCATTAATCATATAAAGCACAACCACAGTACAATTGACCATATCAACCGTGAGCCCTGACCTTATCGTTGAGCACTTCAATGACATCTGCGAATCCGTTGGCTGTGACGATCTTCTGCGCCTGTCGTGCGATGGCACTCGCCTCAACTGCATATACTGCTCATGTGCAAACAGATGGTTAGTAGGGGTTTAGCTGAAACCCTAAACCCTAATCCCGAACAATGCGAATAAAAAACATGCGAGAATGGAAGACGGTTATATGTATGCTTATATATGCTGTCAATATACATATTTGCATGAAACACATGCTAATATATGTATTTAAGATACATACAGGAGACAATACAGTGTTATAAACAGTACTAAATGAAAGGCAATTATATGTATACTAATATATGAATGTAATATAAATATTGGCATGAAATATACGTTAATATATTCATCTAACACACAATACAAGAGTACCTACAGAGTTATAAACAGTACTATTGGCATGCATGGTACTTCAATCGTCCTGTGACCAAACTTAGGGTTTTAAGGTATTAGCCAAAACCTTAAAAACCCTAAGAAGTACACATTCGAATGTTAACAAAGTAACAAAAAGTCCAGAAGAGGCGCACACGTGTACATTTGATTGACGGAGATAGCACTCTCCCTTTATTTTATCGATATATACAAAACACTACCATCGCACAGTAACCACCTTAAAACTATAATCTACAAAACCCAACCCCTTCAGCCCTAAAACCCTAAGCCTATGCGCACTCGGGAGGTGCTAAGCAACACCAGACAGACCGATACAAACCTTTCTTCGCGCCAGCTTGTGCACAGAACACCGACAGAATGCCGGTCCCAGCACCCACATCCAGGACCGTTTTGCCCTTAAAGTAATCTTTGTGACCCAGAATGGCAGCTCTGTACGCCATAGTGCGCACTTGATCTCTGCAAAGAGTGTGTGAACATAAGCTTGAGAGGTATGCATGTATGAAATAGCAGTGTCCACATTCATATAAACATATATGTAAGTATGTACAC